CATCATTGCCGTTTGTTGTTGTGGTTGTTGTTGTTGTTGTGATTTTATGGCCTGCGTTTATAGCGTTGTTTTTTTTTTATATGAAAAAGTTAACTGCATTCTTTGTTGTTGCTTGGGGGTCAGCAAATTGAATTTTTGTTTTATTGCCAGCTGTATATCTTATTGGATATTTGCCAGCTTGAACAAACAAAAGACTGAGGCAACGAACTTGTTCTCTCGCTCACGCAAAAGTCTCAAGTTTCTCGACTGTCAAACACATTTCCTGTCGCAATAGAAACTTTCACTGCGTCTCTCAATACCAAATTGTGATAAAAAGCATTAAAAGTCAATTCAACAAATTTCAGGAAATATTTTGCACCCTGCCGCCGCACCGCGCCGCTAATTGCCAGCTGCGGCGCCCCCCGGCTCCGACAGCTCAGACAGACGAGACACAATAAGCCACATACAACGGATTATTTAACGATTATCCAGCAGAGAAAAAAGTACCAAAAGAAATGTAGTTATTTCAGCCGTTGCTTGGCCCTCTGCTGATTTATCATCCAGCTGCCTGCCGCTGCTCCCCCCTTTGGGGCCCACAATTGCGCCTTTTGTTTGCTTGATTTTCGATTTCGGATTCGCGGGCTCGTGGCATTGGCCGCCTTCGGCTGCAAATATGTTGTTGCGTGTTGCCTTATCAGAGAAATGGCCAACAAAAACGGTTGTGGCATGAATCTCTGTAGATCTGTGTGCTCTATTGTTTCCAATTGGGGGACTTTACAAATGGCCAAATGATGTACAGATATGCGGCACGTGCTGGCCCAGGCCAGGAATCCCCCGGCAGATATATCGGCCAAATCAAATAATGTACTTAAAAGTCGGTTCATTTCAAAGCGAACCATTTCAAATAATTATGCCATTTGTCATGGCCGGATTCGGAATGCATTTTGCGGCTCTTAAGCGCATTCGCTTTGGTGATTTCTCATAGACATTTTGTTGACTTTTATGCGAGTTGACAGCTGTTGATGACTTGTGTCTGCTTCATTACTGCCAGCAGCAGCAGCAGCAGCTTGCAACAGTTGCTTGCAACAAGTTGCATGTTGCTTTGGCATTTCACGAAACGTGAGCGTCGGCAGTTTGTGTGTGCATAAAACATAGAAATAAAGTTGTTAACTACTATTGTTAAGCGCTATAAGACGGCGCAAAAAACATTGTATATATTAATGGGCAGCGGCAACAAGAATATTTATATGAAGCGTCAGCAACAACAACTAAGTGGCTGAAGAAGAAGAAGAAGAAGAAGAAGAAGCAGTTGAACAAGCAGCAGAGCATAAAAAATAATGACAAGCATAAATATCGACTTTACGATTGCAACGTGACTTCATTTAAAATCGAACAAAATATGCAAAATAATACCAAAAGCAGCAGCAGCAACAGCAACAAATAACAACGCACACGTACAGCAGCGGGCGCACATTTAGAGCCACACGTGCGTGGTCAAGAACCCCAAACCAAATTTGGCACTTGCCTGAGAAATAAAGAAAACACCAAAAGACAAAAAAAAAGCCAAAAATTACTGAAATGAGAAACAAACAAAATAAAAATAATACCTATAAAATTTAATAAATTTTATGTACCATTATTATTTGTTGCTGTTATTGTTGTTCCTTTTGTTGTTGTTGCTGTTGTTGTTGTTGCTGTTGCTGCTGTTACTTTTATTGTGATGCCCTCTGGCAGTGGCTGTCGCTTTGCATTTTAAAGAGCTTCTCTTTGGCCGTCATTTCTTTTCAATTTGCTTAAGACGCGCGGCTCTATTAACAGCCATCAATATGCCAAATATAAATAAAAAACAAATACACATTCATAACAAAAAAAAAAGATGTCAAATTGCCAACTGTTTTTGTTGAATTTTACAACATTTTTGCTGTTACAATAGACAATAGACGAACAACTGCGCTGTGTGGCGGCTCTGGCGATATTGAGCCATAAAATTGGCCATTTTCAAATTTAGATTTCGAATTTTGACAGCTGCGCATAAAGTTGCTCATAAATGTCAGCCACAGGCAGCGCCGACAATGCTCATATATAGTCACCTATATAGAGACTCTACACTGTCGCTGATTATCCCAAACAAGTCGACCAATAACACATAAAAACCCGACCGAACAATGACAAAAGCTTCAGAACTGCGGGAAATAATAAATTAAATGAGTAAATGGCATGCTGAATAGATATTAGAAATGTGCGCCCACACAATGCAAAGAAATCGAAAGAAGAAAATAAATAAAACTAGAACTATTTATAGGGCAAATAAAACTCAAGTGTGGCTATAAATAACTCTTGGTATATGCATACACAACAAATCGCAAATGGTTAAAATTCGATGTAAGGCATAGCAATTAGGCAGACAGGAGTGTTCAGTAAAGTTACTATAAAAAAGATTTACAAAAAAATTAACACAAAATAACAATTAAATAATAAGTCATAAATATTTTATGGTCACGGCACTTCTGCAAATGGGCCAAATCAATATCAATTAAACATTAGCTTGAAGAACGGAATGAAAATAAAACGAGAAAGTAAAATAATTTTCGACACACCTAAGATTTAATACCCTTGCAGTCATTTCTCTTTTGCAAAATAGTGAAGATCGTAATGCTGAGAGACTAGTTCGCATAGAAACAGACAGACGGACGGAGACAGACATATACTTTATGATGTCGAAAATGTCTCCTTCTATGAGTTACACATTTCAAGACAAAATTGTAATACCCTCTAGAAGGGCATAACAAAATACGGTACAAGCTCGCGCTTCCTCGGATTGCTCAATTTATGCAAATGGCTTTTTTGTTCTCTGTGCGTAATGCCCATTTATCGCCGATTGCTGACAACGGCATTTTAATGCCTAAAAAAACAAAAACAAATACGAAAAATGTATAAAAAATATCAGAAAATAACTTGGCGTACGCGCGTATTAAAAAGTATAAAAATAAAATATAAAAAATTACCTGCACATAATTTCACTAGCGACAAAAGAACTTGGCTCAGGCGAAAGCCCAAAAGAACAGGTTCATAATTGAAATTCATGTTTGTTGCTGTTGTTGTAGTCGTTGATGTTGTTGTTGTAGCTGCTGTTGTCAATATGTCAGTTTGAGGTACTTGCTGCTAGTTGGCCTGGACGCAAGTTACCGTTGTGTGCAGTTGTTGTCGCCGCCAAAGTCCGAGTCCAACTCGAATCGTACTAATGCCAGAGAGTGGGGGCCACTTAAAGATTCCGCGACGCTTCGGGGCGACGCGTTACGCATTTTTATGAGGTCATTTGCGTGTGAAGCGCACTAAATGCGGCCCACGCGGCAGCTGGAAAAATCGAATTCAATTCGTGGAAAACGCGCCAGGAAAAGCCACAGTGACTGTGCCACAGCCAAAGCCAAAGCCCAAATATTACTCATATTCGCGGCAACAACTGGCTAAACAAAATCTATTAAAATTATCACACGCCACGTTGACCTCAGAGGCGAGCAAACATTTTTCAAGTACCGTTCCAAATACTCTCGTACTCGTACTGTTTTATGTGTCGGCGTACAAAAATCAAAAAAAAAAAAAAAAAGAAATAAAAGGAAAAAAAATACCGAAAAGAAAAAAACCACAGCCAATAAAATGAAAAATGCTTGGCAAAAATATCGCGGCAAAATAATTTGCCACGCTCGTAAATTTTCAGCTCATAAAAAGAAACGAACTACGTTGGTGGGTTTTGAGGGTGTATGTGTGTGTGCGTGTATATGTTGTGTGTGAGTCAGTGTTGAGCATTTCTCAAATTGAGTCAGATTTCGGCTTGGTTTTAGTAGGCTATATGCCTGGCCCTGATCAACACTCTACACTTTGATATATTGCCAGCCCCGACTCACTGGCAGCCCTCATTTGCATGTGAAAAGCCTGGAAAAAAGTTTCTCTAATTTGCCAAATGATTATTATGTGTGCCTAAACAACGTTAAGTGTTGTCATAAATTATCTTGCAGACAATGTTGACGTTTGTCGCTGGGTTGTCTATAAAAAGCTGCTCATAAATTTCAGACAGCGACAATACTTTTTGGAGCCAAGCATTAAGACTAATCAAAATAGCGAGATGGCCAAAAAGAACACTGATGATAAAAAAAAAGTATTATAATACACTGGAAATATTCAAAATACAATATCTGTATCAAAAGTGAACTCATGAAAACTAGGGAAAATGTATTTATATACAATCAAAAAAATTGTTTCAGCCATTTCAGGAATTCACCAGAAAATGGCAAATTTCATTACTTTCAAGTAATATTTTCTTAAAATATCTATTTATGGGTAACCTTTTTTAAATCTCCTATTACACTTTTTTTTTTAGAGGGTAGCGACAGTTATGCATAATTTTTTCTTTTTAAAATCTAATCATGAACATTTCCAGAATGATTTGCAATTAATTTAATTACGAATTGACAGTGCCTTCAATTTGAAAAGCCGTATTAGATAAGCGCTAATCGAATTGTAATCAATTGTCAAGAGTTTTCATATGATACTTCCCACTCAATTGTCAATAAGTTAAGAAAACTTGAATAGAATAAATTAATTTGCGCAAAGTCAGCGAGTCGACTTTAACGTCAGGCCACAATGACTTAGGCAACGAACTTGCATGCCAGCCAGCGCATGCACATTATGAGCACACAACAATAAAATAAAAACAGAAAAAAAGGTGCATAAAAATGCGACAAGATATCTACAGAAAAACAAACATTTCGATGCAAAACAAACGAACGACGAAAATTAAATTGAAAACGAGCCACAAAAAACGATGCTCGCCATAAAAGTAAGCCAAAGAAAACAGCCAGAGAATAAAGATAAGCGAAAAGTGGCAGCGAGAAGCGGCCCAAAGTGTTGCATAGCGATAAAAATTTAATCAAAATTTATGAAGAGGCAACGCACCAGAGCGGGCCGCCTGTTGGGCCATATAACACACAATTTACTAACACTAACTTTTCTCAATCTGTTTGCAGTCCCCGGAACTGGATTATCGGCACGAGCTGATGGGACGTCTGCACAAGATCGAGCCGGCCGACGTGGAACTGGAAGTGCTCGCTGCTGCTGCTGCTGCCTCCAACAACAACAACACGAATAGTAACAACAACAACAACAACAGCAGCAACGGCAACGGCAGCCAAACGCCCAACAGCAACAACTCGGCGGCATCTGCGCATCATCATCACCATCATCAGTTCCATCACCACCACCTGCATTCGCACCACCATTCACATGCGCACCACCACCAACACCATCATCAGCATTTGCACCACAGTCTGCAGAGCGGCGAGAGTGGTGCCGCCTTGGATGCCTGGCAGCTGGCTGCCTCCAGCTATGCCAGCGACCAGTCCCAGCAGCAGCAGCAGCATCAACAGCAGCAACAACAACCCGCCGGCTCGCCCAATTCCAACTCAAATTCCGCCTATGGATGTGCGCCGCTCTACGACGAAGCGCCCTACGAAGTGGCTTTGGGCTATGGAGCGGGCTCCAGCAACGGGGCGGCGGGCGCGGCAACGGGCAGCGAGAAGGAGTATTTGTATGGTAAGTAGCTGGGCGAGTGGCAGAAGGGGGGAGCGAGGTAAGCTGGGCACACAAAATTACACGCATGAGGAGAAATCTCGCAAGTCAATAGCAAAACGAGATGCGACAACTCGTGTTCGCCTTTTCGTAGTTTCGTATTATTTTCGTTTGTAGTTTTTTTGATTCATAGTTGGGTTTGCAAGCTAAATGTGAAACTTGAGACCCTACAGAAGAGCCTAAGACCCAAACACAGAGAGAAGCTTAAAACTAATACGAACTCAAAATGCGCTTCACACGTAGATTGGGCAAACTTATGAATTGAAAACCAAGAATAAAACTGAAACTTTTTAACTTTTGGAGACCTCAGAGAAAAAGTTAGTGTATACAAGTGAGAGTTTAGCGAAAAGTCTCGGCTTTATTTATAGTTAAAAATATCGAAACGGTTGTTTATAAATTTCATGCATATGCGAGATTTCTTTGTTTGCATTAATAATTCCCTGTTTGAGCGATGTCTATATAATGATTTGCAAAAGGCATTAGCAGCTTGATTATAAAGCGATTTTCTTTACCATCCCAACACCAACACACGCACACACACCCTCACACACACACACACACACACAAATAGAAACCAAAAACAAAGAGGCTCTCTTCGGCGACCCACTGGACGATCCGTATCAGCGACCAGCTCTCTGGGATGATATTGCCACCTCAATACAGAACATTGATCCGGAAAATGCGCTCATGCTGAGCGCCAGCACAGTGGCCAATGGCAGCGACAATGCGGCAGCGAATCAGGCGACACAGCAGCAACAGTTGCTGCCACAGGTCAAAATGGAAGCAATAGATGAAACACTGCTCGAAAATTTCTCGACACCAATGCTCAGTCCCATGGAGATTAAAACTGAAAAGCAGCAGCGACAACAGCAGCAGCAGCAACAACAGCAGCAGCAGCAGCAGCAGCAGCAGCAGCAGCAACAGCAGCAACAGCAACAGCAGCAGCAGCAATACCATCAGCAACAACAACAGCAGCAACACTATCAGCAACATTATCAGCAACAGCAGCAACACTTGTACCAGCATCATCCTAGCCTCTCGCTGTCCGGGTTGCCACCCGCTGCTGAAGTTGTCGAGCTGCAGCTTCAGCAGCAGCAGCAGCAGCAACATCAGCAGCATCTCCACAGCGGCAGCAATAGTCCCAAGCAGGCAGCCGGCGACATTAACAACAGCAGCAACAACAACAACAACTCTGCCTCCTATCAGCAACAATACGCATCTCAGCTGAACAGCGCATCAGGCGCTGGATATCTAAACAGTAGCAGCAACAACAGCAGTGCATCTGGGGGCACCACCAGCAGCGTCGTCACCAGCAGCACCGGCAGCAGCAGCAGCTATGGCTACAGCTGGCACCACAGCAGTCAGGTGAGAATCTCCGCAATTGTTGTTGCTTGAAGACTTTCTATTTCTGGTTCCCTTTGCTGCTCTAGAGCTTTCACACCAAATACCAAATACACCCGCCATCAGCAGTTGCCACTGCGACACCAACCACTGCCACGCCCACAGCTCAACACGTGCTGCAGCAGCAGCAGCATCAGCAACAACAACAGCTGCAGCTATGCCCGCCAGCCGCGCCCAGCACACCGTCCGCCACATCCGCCTCCTCCTCGGGCAGCGCCTCCTCGACGGGTTCCAATTCGACGCGTCACATGTTCGTGCCACCGCTGACACCGCCCAGCTCAGATCCCGGCAGTCCTGGCGCCTCCATGGTGGCCGCAGCCGCTGCAGTTGCCCAGGCACAGCGGCGTTCCACGCCACCGCCGCCCTATCAGCAGGGCCATGGCCTGGCTGGCCTCTGTCCTAGCCTGGTTAATCCGCCACCCACGCTGCAGCTGCTGGGTGCCGGCACGCCCACCACGCTGACGACACTCACGCCCGCCAATGCAGCCAGCGCAGTTGGAGCAGTCCAGCAGCCGGCACCGCCGCCACCTCCGCCACCGCCGAGCAGCGGGCGACGCGGCCGGCATGCGCACCATCAACCGGGAACGCCGGCGCACATCGCCAGCCTGATGAGTGTGCGTACCGTGCGCTACAATCGGCGCAACAACCCGGAGCTGGAGAAGCGTCGCATCCATCACTGTGATTTTGTGGGTGAGTGCAATCCGCAGATTCATCTGCCGCCTGCTGTTTTTTAGGGGCTTCTTCTTTCTGCTTGGGATGCGTTGCATGTGCGACTCGTTTATCATTTCGCGCGCTTTGCGACACTTTTTGTAATAGAGACCAGCTCCCCCCAAACCCGCAATCCCGCCTACTTGTACTTACATACCTGTTACATATTCAGCTATTTGGCTGGGATCTTGGCCACGGGCTCATTGCGCATGCGTGAGGCGTACTTCCAATCGCCATTTATTTATTCTCCATTTATCTAAACATTTATTTATTTATTATCTTTCCGTCTGTCGCCCGCTGTGTCTATTGACAGTTGTTGTGGCGCTTTTTCAAATGCCTCTTTTGTAATTCCAATTAGCCAGTGCCATATTTATGTAAGAGTCTTTCCTCTCTGCCTCTCTTTGTTATCACTGAGATACGTTCCAATGTCAACCCAAGGAAGACAAAGATTATATATGAATTGATTGTACGGAATTGAGAAGCATTTAGAATGAAATTAAAATTGTATGCCAATTGAAGATCAGTCGCTTATAAAGAAAACTATAAGTCAAAACTACTAAGTCAAAGATCGAAGATCAATTCAATGCCGATCGAAGAAAGAAGTAAATTAATACATTAACTGAAGATCGGCTTACAATCGAGAATAGTTTAGATAGACACAGCTGATGATCAACTAGATATTACACAGAATCAAAAGAAAGAATTTCAGTTGATCAATAATATAATAAGATCAATAAATGATCTTGCAAAAAATTTTCATCGACAGAAAATCAGGTAGAAAATATAATCTTGTCTGCGCTATATAATCAAGAAATACGTAGGAAGTTGGAAGGAACATTTAATATTTCATGCAAAGACTGAATAATAATTGGAGATCAGCCAAAAATATATCGTACATTCGTACATATCGTACATCTTGTACCATACGAAAAGGGCATGAAGATAGCGTTGAATGGAACATTTAATATTTTTGAAGATCAATTAAAGATCATGCAAAGACTGTTGTTTATCAATTGAAGATCAGCCGAAAAATAAACAGCACTAAATCAGCGTTCAATCAAATGTTGAATCGAATCGAAAACCTTATACACAATTCGGCGCTCAGTCCATTAGCTGCTAACGGGGCGATTATTGAGAGGGAAGCGAAAAGCACTTAACCCCAACTAAATGCGACGTTGTCTAGCCAACTGATGGTCCGTCGTTGGAGTCATTGGCGTCGTTGGCTACGTGCGTTGCCACTAATAAATAATTGACAATTGTCTGACACGTTTGCCGTGGCCATTTTTAGACAAAAAGCGCGTTCGAGCACAAATATTACGAGTCCGATTGCGCTTGGCCAAAAGTCTTGAGCGCAGGCGCACAAAAATGCTGTCCAAATGAAGTTATTATGCCATAAACGCACGCATCAGACTCTCCGACATAGCTCTGTGGGCCAAGTCTACACGTTTCACGTCCACATTGCAGCTCTATGGACTATGCCACTTGCAACTTGCGACTTGCAACTCGAGATTGCAACTGCCACGCAAGTGAGTTATGTCTCAGAAGTCCGCTCTGGCGCGGGGCATGTGATCGGCAATCCTCGTAACTTTGCAGTCGCAGCCAATCACGCGTCTAACTGTCATCATTGTTGTTGTTGTTGTTGTTGTAGTTTCTGTTGCTGTTGTTGCTGCTGCTGTTGTCTGGCGTCGACGCAGCATTCTTGACTCGCTTTTTAGCTATCAATTCGCTTTGGCCATGTTTGTCTACGGTGGCTTACTTGTGCCTTGGTGGTGGTTCGAGTATTTTTAGCTGAGTTTTGGCATTGTCTTTTTCTATATGCGCGTCACGTTGTACTCAGCTTTCAATTAGAGCGGACGTGCTGGGATCTCTAAGCATCCTTTTAAGTGCCACATAAATGTCTCATGCTGTGCACAAGTGAATCTTGTGCAACTTTCACCAGCTCCAGCTCCATCTTCAGCTACAGCTCCAGCTTCAACTACAGCTGCACGGGCTTAATTAAAGGCTCGATTGTAGCGACGCCCACTGACCCACTGCAGAGGCACAGCCTTAGTAACAACTACTGCCACAGCCAGCTGCACTTTGCAATGTGGCTCTTTTCTCATAGTCAGCTTATCAAGATTTTCGTTTGTGCTGCCACAGTGCGGGCTCTGCACAGTGCTCTCAGATAAATTGCCCATTCAATTTGGCACTCTGACAACGAGATTCGACTTGGTATCACATATGAAGCGCTTAAAATTGTTAACAACTTTTAAGGCCGTAGTAAATTTAACGGCTAACATCAGTGTTTAACCCATACACAAGTTGCATGTTGAAGGTTTAATTTAAACAGCATTTCAAGTTATGGTTTAAGTTAACTAGCAGCTAGAGTTAAGGCATAATGGATATTCCAAATTTTCTTTAAATTAAATTATTATTTTTTTTTACTGCACCAGTTCACGATTTTTGAAAAAGAATCATTCAAGAATTTAATTTTTAATAGTATAATGTACGATATATTCACGCCCCATCTTTTTAGTCCAAACGATTCATTTCCTAGCTATAGATTCGCTGCCTTCCTTTCTTCCGCTTTTACAACTAACAGTCCACTTTCTTTTCTTTTTACCATTTGCAGGTTGTTCCAAGGTCTACACGAAGAGCTCGCATTTGAAGGCGCATCAAAGGATACACACGGGTAAGTCGTTAATGTTATTGATAGTCAAAGGCTGCAACACAGATCCACCCACCACCCAGGCAACAAGCACTTGGTATTAGTTATAAGGCGCCGCTAGGCTTGTCCGCTGTCACACACATTTGTTGCCGGCCCGATCCTGCCCCGCATTCGATGTAGGCGTAGAAGGTTTGGCTTATTACCACACCACCAGCAGCTCCGCCATGGCTGACGATGAGCTGGTGGTGCACAGCTGCGCTGCTTTATTTTGTAGCGTTGAGCAACCGAACGTACAGAGGAAAAAAGGCTTTTGATTAATTCGCGCGCTCATATTTGTAGTTGCCAGCACATAATTTGCCAAGAGCTTGGAGCGCCTTTTGGCTGATTTCTTTTTTTTTTGATTTTTTGTTTTTCAATTTCGGCGGAGCACATAGCGCAGCAAAACCACAGAAATCGTGATTTCTACGTTTTGTTTTTGTTTTTGTTGCTGTTTTTGTTGTGCGGCTTTTTGTGGTCAGTTGCAACATCAACAACATCAACAATCGCCAATCGCCAACGCCATCAGCTGGGCGCACGTTTGGCCTGCATTTCCTTCTTGCTCAGATTACACTTGACGTTATTTTTTGGTTTGTCCGCCAGTCGGTCGGGCTTTACCATTTTTTTTTTTGTTTTTTGGTGGGTCGTTGGATGTTGATCACCTGTCTTCGTTTTATGGGCCACACGTTTTATGCCCCTCTGATTCGCGACTCACAATAACTGGCGACTTGCGACTTTCAACTCGCGACTCTCGACCCAGCCCCAAAAGCAGCGAGACTCAATCCCGAGCGCAGTTCTCCTTCAGTGTTTTATTAATCGCACATGACCAGCTGATTTATGCGCAAACTTAAAACGCTGCACTTAAAAAACATTTTTATTATTATGATTTTGCTCTGCGCTGATTTTCACTTAACTGATAAACTCGACGCTTCGCTAAGAAAAAAAATGACATATTTGATAAGCCCCAACGGCAAGTGCTCGAGTCAAGGTGACACTATAAATGCCCTGTAAAAGGTCTTTCTACGATTTTATACAATTGAAAATATTCAAAGTCCCATATAGATGTGAAGCCTTGCATATTAACATTACATACAAATTGATCCAGTGACCTCCTGTGTTTGAATCTGACACTCAAGCATACGTAAGGGTATGTCGATTTTATACAACCTTTGTACTCAGTTTTTCCCCATCTATTATTATTATTGACCTTAATCTAGTAAGTTCCTTCTACACCCTCCCTACTACCCGTGACCCGTTTAATAGAAATCGTAAAAAACATATCAAGACCTTTAGCTAACAAGTAGATATATCAAGCAGAGAGTGTTCTCTCATTCGATCAATTAATCATATTCTGATATATTGTAGCTAACAACTCCCATCCCCATGCTTTCTCGCTCACTCTCTCAAAGACTTTCTCCAACTGTTAACCCTTTAGCTGCACTTGCTACAGGCCAGTCAATGTAAGCTTGAGCTCTGGTTAGCTGATTTAATTGCCTTACACCCGCCGTGGGCCAACACGAATGCCAGGCAAATCTGTGACCACGTCTCTGTGGATTTGGCTCAAATTTTACAGTAGTTTTCGAGTGGCAGCAGCCATTTGTGGCTACCGTCTGATGCCTGTCCTGTTTGTTTGGCTTTTGACTTAGTTAACGTCGTCGTCACACGCCCAGCCTAGGAGGCAGCAAAACCACATACACACACATACTACACACAATTTTCATGCAATTTTGAAGCTGCGGCATCTCGTGGCGCCAGACACCAGCTGAGTGTTGTCTTTGCTGATTAGCGGCGCTGCAACTCAAGTGCCGGGTCGGACACTTGGGACAGCATTGAGTTTACATGCACTCAAAAAAATGTCAATCGCCATTAAATGAAAGAATTCCTAATATCCGAAACATTTCTAAAAAAATAACTAAATATAATAGATATTAGAAAATATTTCTAATACTGATTTTGATATTCGGGAAATGTATTCTACTTGTTAGAGAAATAATCAGATTTTTTAAAAATAAGCATTTTTGCTGTTGTTTCCATTTGTTTCGAAAGATTTGAAATTGGTTGTTGAAATTCCTTCTCATAGGCGTATTTTCGAATTTGGCAGGCTTTTTTAAGTGAAGATATTCGCCGCAGCGAATCTAAATGCTCCGGTCAGGCAAGTTCGTTACCTAAGTCTTTTGTTTGTTTTTTACTTGCTGCGTTCGCTGCTCGTAAATTTGTGATTTTTATTCGGGCTTTTTGTATTTATCTGGACGCAGCGATTAGAAAATCACTCGGTAACTAATCTTTATGCAGCAAGCGAACGCATAAATTAAACATATCGCTGCCCCAGTCCCTAGGTGTCTGCACTGGAACTGGAACTGGAACTGAAGCTGGAAGACAGGCACTTGGAACGCAGTTTGCCCACCGGCTGGGCTTATTTTGTACTGATTTGTTTGCTAATATGTTCGCGTTGCCATAAATTAGTTTGATTTTTGTGTCCGACGACTGGAGGAGGTCTCCTGCCTGGCATGGCCTGGACTGTGTGGCCTGCGGCTAGACTTGTCTTCTAGCTTGTTTTGGGGGCAGCCGTTGCCTTAATTTATATACAAGTCCGAGTGTGTCTGCATATTGTTAGTTGCATGTTGCGCTTATCGCGGCATACTACGTTAAAATTATGAAGTAATTTCGTCGGCCTTATCGCATTGCGTTCATCGCACATTACAAAACAACATTTACATAACTTTGTTTGTTGTTTACCCGGGCGCTCGGATCGGATCGGGCCGGCCCCGGTCCAACCCCCGGACTGCGGGTTCGATGCTGATCTTTGCTTTAGTTACGAGCGATTTCAATTTTGCCATTGCCAAATGATATTCCCACGAGTGCGCTGTGGTTGTTGTTGTAGTTTCTGTAGCCGTTGCTGTTGTTGTTGTTTTTGGTATTGTTTTTGTTTACGAGATTCTGTTTGGGCAGTTTCTGTACCATGACTCACCATCGGCAACAGCGAGCTACAATGCCCAGCCATTTATCAATGTTTTTTTTTTTTGCCCCAAACAAAGCTTCTTACACGCTCACACACACGCGGCACGCATGTGTGCGTGCAAGTGTCGATAGGTAAATTTTTTTTTTTTGATTATGTTCAGTCATCTCGAGGCACTTAAATTCATTAAAAGAGATCTAAATAAACCAATAAGTCACGCCACGAGTCGATCGTATTGGGTTTCTATTCGTAAATCCTACAAAAGTGTCAGCTAAGTGCCACTTCAGACCTCAACTTGAGCCAAACAACTCTCTCCTCATTCCCCTCCCCAGACTTAAGAAGCATTTCAAACTAAAAATCCGCTGTAAAAAACAACGGCAATAATTATTATGCCCATTGCTGCTTAAAATAATGTTTGTGAAAAGGGTTTCGCTGCTCAGATGAGCTTAGAAGTGCGAGTTATTTGAGCAAAGTGTGAAGATGTAATCTTTTTTGCAAGGTAACATTTATAGAGAATTTACTTTAAAGAATTGTCTATAAGACTTAAAAAAATCCGATAACATATTTTGGGAATTGTCTATAAGACAGCATACATAAATATTTCATATTCCTTTTCTCAAATAATCGAGAAATAGTGCAAAAAATGAATTATTTGCACAAGCCACCGCCAATTGGATTATGCGAACAATAGAATTTCAATTGGGAAACCTATTCGATACAGTACACAGAATGCCATTGGCCGAGTCGAGTCGAGTCAGTCGCTGGCGAAGACAATGCCTGAATAATGCCATAAAATGTCAAGTTCACCAAATTTAAAGCACCGCAATAATTATTTCATTCAATTTCAATTTGAACACGAATGTTTATGTTTATGTTTATGTTTATGCTCTGGCATACGAGCTCTAATGCTCGAAGCACGCTGTTAGCCAAAGCGACCCAAACGGCAACAGCAACAACAGCAACAACGCAGCCGGCAGCCGGCCCGGTTCCAGCTGGAGGGAATTAGTCATAGAGCAGCGGGCAAAACTTTTGGGCACCGGCCGATCGCATTTTTGTTGCTACCTCGACATGAGCTGAGCAAAAGTCACTTGCAAATATCGTCGTGTTGTCTCTTATTATTGCAGCAGTCGTTGCTGTTGCTGCTGCTGCTGGTAATGGACCATCGTCAGCGGCAAGTCGTGTGCCACAGCAAGCAAAATACAAATCATAAAATACGCGACTGAGAGTGACTCGAACTGCGAATTGACTTACCATATGCTCCAGCTGCCGTTTTGTTGTCGGCATTGTCGTCGTGTTGTTGTTCTCCTGTTGCCGCAAACTAACATGAAAATTCGATGAAAATGTTAATTTGTGAATAAATGCGGCAGCCGCATAGTTGTACACACTCGCAAGACAAGAAGCTCTTAGATGACATGCACTTCAGTCGAATAATATATATGAATTTGTCTTTTTAACAAATTTTCCAATTTTTTCATTTGTCAAATCCAACTAATGGCATGCCTTTGTTTTTGCTCTTATTTTTGATTCCAGGTGAAAAGCCCTACACCTGTCAGTGGCCGGAATGCGAATGGCGTTTCGCTCGCTCCGATGAATTGACGCGACATTATCGCAAACACACCGGCGCCAAGCCCTTCAAGTGCATCGTCTGCGAGCGAAGCTTTGCGAGAAGCGATCACCTGGCACTCCATATGAAGCGCCACTTGCCGAAGAATAAGTGAGGCCGTCGTGTCGGCCGGAGCGGCTACCAATCAACTATATCACAATCCAAAGGACTTTAGTTAAGCTAAAAAGATACAAAAATTCGTTTAGTAAATGGTTACTATTAAATATTAATATTAAACCTGATTACTAATTAGTTTAATACAACAAAATCACATACACAAGAGCTTTTCACAATCGAAATTCAGAGAGCGTATGGAGTCGGGAGCAGATCTTACAGCTGAAAGGATCTGCTCGCTCTTTCTGTCTGTCTCTCTCAACTCAAGCGTTAAATTAAGTAAATGAAATTTCCACCTGCTTAACTACATATAAATGCAAATTTGAAACTAAGCACACTCCTAACTAATCATAACTCTCGTTTAGCTTACACATTCACAACAATATTTAGTTCGTACTGTTCCAAAAGAATTCTCTCGTTTCTCTCAACACTCTGACAGTTGCGAGCGCATGCTGAGAGACCCGTGTATTAAAGTGCATATAGTACATATATATCTATATAGATAAATATATATATATATATCATCATATAGATCCTTGTATACTTAAACTAAATCAATGCCAAGTTGTATCGCCACGTGTCATTGTCGCCTAGTTTCTGTATAGTTTCCCTTAGCCATAATATTATGTTAGTCTGTAATTCGATGCGTACGACTATATATGTACATATATCTGTCCTGTATGTATATGGTAGCTAGTGTATTATGTATATGTAAACTTATCGTGTCTCTATATCGTTTCTAAACACCAAAAAGTGCTGGCACAAAATCATCAAATAATAAAATGTTTTTGAAAAACCACAGTTCTGTTTATTCAACAAAAATTATCTTTAGATAATGCGTTTGATGTCTTCGGGCATGGCAAAGCGATCAGTCCAGTCGCGGACTATGCTGTCGTGCTCAGCGCGATGCTCCATATACAGCTTTGCAATAGCCGGATTCAGCGGATCCTGTAGATTGGGTGACACCAGCAGCGCAAGCACCGACACCAGCAGCTTGCCCACGGTCAAAACCGGAGACCACTTCTCCACGCAGATCTGATCGGCATGCACGTTGCAGTGATAGATTTTGGTAAGGAACCTTAGGTTCGGCGGAGTAAAAGGATAGTCATGCGGGAAGGTGACGTGTATGTGAAAGAGCCCGCCCTCATAGGGTGTGCCCTTGGGCCCTTCAAGCGCGGCAATCCACTCGAATAAATTGCTATTCAACATATCTACTTTGCAACCAGCCAATGGATTTCGCTTGATCTCTGCCAACTCACGACCCAAACGGCGTTCGGTCATCCCGCTGCGCAACAGCTTGCTATAGATGCGACGACGCCGTGCCTGGACTTCGGGCTCCTCGAATTCTGGTGCCCCATCAAAAGCTGCTGCCAAATCAGGCGGTGGCTGGCGTCTGCGCAGGCGCTCGCTACGACGCACTGGAAACATCTTATGTTGACTACCAAATAACCAATAAATCCCCTTACGTTAACAAAAAAATAAACAAACAAAATTCAAGTATAATCAACTAACAAATACCTCGATACAGCTTTTGAATGCGTGCGTCTCCCTTAAATGTTGCTGATAGAATGAAAGGCGGCTGTGAAATATAAGCCTTGACAGGCGTCAATTTCAAGGGATGCCGATTTGCAAAAAAAAAAAACAAAAAAAAACTTTCCTTTATTTGCCGAAATTCGATTATTGAATTAGTATTAAATGTTGGCATGTAAAGTTTGCATCTTGATGTTTAATTTAGTTTGCTGTTATCGATAGTATTAATATCAATGGCAATTGCCATGAGTATCTGCATTGAAAGTAGAAGCACACACGTTAAGTGGAAACGAGCACAAAATAACGAGATACGAATATATCAAAGCCTGAAGAGTTTGCAAAATGAAAGCACAAGCAAAATGTATCAATATTTTGCTTGTTCAAAAACATAATTGTTGTTGTTCGAGCATCATCAGAAAAGGATACAGAGTTAGCTGTGGAGATTCATATTTTCAAAAACTATAGAAAAAACGTCAATCTCTTGATAAGCATGTTGATTATATATTCAATAATTTCGACTACATATGCGGAGAAAACTCGGTTGCATAGTAGTCGGATTCCTGAAACCGATTATGACTTTATTAAAATTTCTTTGTAGAAAATAGAAATCAGTTTGAGGAACACCCCAAAAATGTAAGCTGGAATCATAAGTGTCAAGGCTAGATTCCCGTGGAATTTGACCCTTTGTACCCAAATTGCTAAAGTCGATTCAATCAGCAATTCATTGCCAGTGTTGGACACGTGCAATGGAATTCCTGCATTCGATATTTACTGCAATCGTATGCACTTCATATAGGATTATTAACATTTCCCAATTACGTGCCTGGCAAGGCAAATGTTTACTTTTGAAAATTTCTCTGGCAATTGTCAAATGATTTCCACAATTTGGCAGCAGTTTTCGTTTGTGGAGGCCAGTCTTTAAGAAAACTCCACACGTCAGTTAACGGTTAGGTTATTAAATAATAAAAAAGTACATGCGCATATGACTTTGTTGGAGAGACCCACAAACAATTTATGAGCCACAAATAACTAAGAGACAATAATTTCATTTAGATGAGAATGCAAAGCCGATAAGTGTGACCCCATGTCGTAGACCCGAGACTCAATTGAGTTTTGTTGTTATTCCTGCAACGATCATTATCAAAATATTTTGTACACGAAACAAACATGTCAAGCAAATGTGAGACGTTTCTTGTTGTTGTTGTTGTTGTTGCTGCTGCTGCTTGAAAATTGTTCAGAAATAAAAATAATAATTTCAATTGTTGACTGCATTTGATTTTTTTTCTATTTATTTTCTTCGCTTGTTTTCGACGCGTCATGTTGTTTTGATTAGGGCGATAAAATTGTTGTCGTTGTGCGCCCATTTGAAATTATAAATCGTTTGATTTTTATGAGGCTCATTTATTTATGAGCTTGCCGTACGGAGAACTCGGAGGAAACTAAAAGAAAACCAGTTCATTTGTTAAGTCTAAGACACGTGTTGGGCAACTTATTTAACTGTGTTGAATTTAAGCCCGGCCTGCGACTAAACGCGTGCCCCGAGACGGTCCAGTAACTGCCATATAGATCGTGCTTTAAAGAAAAGCCCTTGGATTCCGCTCGCCAGACAGACAGAGCCCCCACTCAACGCTTGCCACATGACTTTGCTTGGCATCCATCAACAAAACTCTCTTCAGTTCAAGCTCTCTACGTGGGCGTTGAGTACAGACCATCGTTTTCTCTCTCTCTCTCTCACACTCTATGTCGCTGTCTGGTATATGTGTATATCTATCCCTGTCAAAAGTATCTTCAATTGTTGTGCGCTGCGCTGATTAATCATGTTACCACTGACAGCTCAACTTTGCGGGCAAGCTGCTTATTAAATTGGCTTAAGATTGCTAGATAAACGTAATAAAAAACGCACAGCAACAGCCAGAGTCACAGCCAGAGACAGAGATACAGATACAGATACATCAACAGACACATGCAGAGTACGTGTAGGTATGAGGACCCCACAAATTGATAAATGCACAAATCGCAGTCGCTGTCGCCGTCAAAGGTTTTCTCAATGCACCCACTTGAAAGTCGAGTCGGAACAAAAGCGAATTTCATATGAAATTGATGCGATTTCAGTCAGATCGCGTGTGCCTGCCCCCCGCCGGACTGATATCGCTTATTATTTCAATTAATTTGTGCGCCTTTTGTTCTGCTTATTTAAGAGGCGAATCATTAAAAAACACAAAGCCAAATTGCGCATACAAATACTTACATTTAATTCAATCCCCATGTGGGTGTAGTATTATGCGGATCTGGTAAATATGTCAGTGGAACGCTTTATATATACTACACGTATTTATAGGAAGACAATTAATGCGAGTGCGTACTTTAATTTATCTAGACTTCAGTCATTTTCCATTGATTGATTATTAATCTTTTTGATTGTATCGATTTGAACCGGCGACTTGGCTTGTTAGTTAGACGCATATTAAGTAAAAAGTTTTAGATGAGAACATTTCTTATGTAATTTTCTACAAAGCTCATCTTGAACTCTTGAAGTCGACTAGTTTTGATTGACTTCTTCCATATCTTATCTATTATTTTAATATAAGTATCTGTTATTCTGCTTCCTGCTGTGGACCTCGGTATCTTCTAGCTGTACAGTAATGGTGTTCTCGGGCATACCCTATCTACATAATTCATACATGAATGAATTCGTTCCCCTTGCCTGAATGACTTCATTAAAACTCGTTGCCCGTTTCAAATCCGCTTCGAATTGCGCTTCGGCTATTGAAATATGCGAGGCGAATTGGAGGCGGATTGTTGGGTGACAGCTCCAATGCAAATATAGAACATAACGTTGAATAAAGCCCGGTGCTTCTAGATATTCTGATGTTCGGTCTTTGAGTTTGGAATTTCACTCTTTGGCCAACTTCTTAAGGTTCCGCAACAACTTTTACTTTCAGGCAGGCAGGCGGGCGGGCGGGCGGATAGGCCGGTAGACAGCGTCCAGCTGTGGCACAAGAGACACCCACAACAACCGCTCGCGTGGTTAACCCACACACACATGCCACAAACGAGCGGGTTCATCCATTTTAAGCCAGCTGAAACTTACAAAAGCGCCCATTAGCAAATGGGGGGACGCACTCGTGTCGTGTTTCGGTCGTGTCGTATCGTGTGTTGTTGCCCCGTGTCCGTCTGTGTGTGTGTTGCCTGTCAGACTGACAGAGGGGCGCAGCCGCAGGCACTACAACCAAAAACCGAAAACCAAAAACCGTAAACAGGAACTCCTCTCGCCAAAATGCTAACTGGCCCATGGTTGCCAGACGGGCGACAGACAAGACAAGACGAGACGCGGAGCGGGTTGGGGCGGGGCAAAGCGACGCGTGTTGCAGCAACTACTTTGCATACACGTTGCACATAAACAACGCTGACTAAAAACGGCGACAACTATAATTAAGCTTAATTGCTGTTTAATGTGAACCACACAGACAGAGTCAGAGTCTCGGCTAGGAGCCGGAGTCGGATGCGGAATTGGAGTTGAAGCTGGAGTTGGCAACCAGGACCGATAGCTTTTAGCATTTGTCAAGCGCCCACGCATTGACAGTGACTGCTAACCATATCACACACACACACACACACACACACGCACACACAAAGACAAATAAATAACTGCATTTAAGCTTTAATTTAATTATATCTGTAATATGAAAAATGTGCATACAATAAACTGGAGTGAAACCAGGTGTTTGTATAATTGAAAAAGTTGCCTATCTGTTGGCATTATTGTTTTTGGTGTGTGTCGGGGAAATTAATTAGCAATTAAAAATGCAGCCCCGGCAATGGCAATACGTAGCTCTAATCTGTTGTAGAAACACTCGTAATTCATATTTATAAATAGGCAAACATTATTCAAGGTGTCCGCGCTGACTCGAGAACCGTAAATTAAATCAAAATCAAAATGAAAACGATATAGTTAGAATTTATAACGAAAAAAGGTAAAGAATAAATAAATTAGAAAAAAAAGTAAGCAAAAGCGAAATACACAAAAGCCGAAGTTTAAATGCACTTGTGTACAAAAAGCCAAGAAATTGTTTGGACAAAGCGAAAAGATTAATATGCAAATTAAACTAAATCTTTTGAGTCTTATGCATTTATTTTCTATTGATTTATTATCTTTCTTGCAATATATATAAAGAAATATATTTGTACCGTATATCGAATCCATGTATCCAGAAAATACAAATTCTAAACATTAATATGTATGTATCTGAGAACTACAGTGAAGGGCACTACCTGCCTTAGTCTAGAGACTCGTGGTGAGGGTATGAGAACAACAAAAAACCCATTTGATCCGTGGCCGCCCACAAATTGAACGTCGAACCGTGCTCAGGCCTCGACAGACAAGAGCCCCGGCAATTGGAGGTTGGGGTTGCTGCAACTTGCAACTCGGCAGTTGGTGGCCGGCGTGTGACTCAAACCCAGCTGCAGACCGGAGTTGATCGACCGATCAGTCGATTGGCGACCCAGTGGCGACGACTGCCGCTGCATTTGGCAATGAACTTTTCGATATCGAAATATGCATGGGCTAAACAAAAAGGCAGATACAGATAAATAAATCGAGCGTGGCGCTGCCAATTTGACTTTGAACTCGGTCAAGTCGAGACACATTTGAAGCTGTTTGCATATTTAATTGAACACCTACAACAACTGCTTGCTATTTGCTTGCAACAACAAGAGCGACAACAAATGGTCTGCAGCTGTGTTGGCATAATAATAAGCATTATAATCAGGCGCAAAGGCTCAATAGGCCAATTGGCTGCCGGCCAGCTAAGTGTACAGTTACTTTGTCAAAGCGTTAAGTCGTGCCTGACAAAATAATGACCATTTGTGCATAAACTTATGGCCTTTCAGCCAAATCTCATTAAAACCAATGCCCCAAGACAAAATACTCAACAAAAGGCTCTGCTAGAAGACAGCCCAAACGGAACAAACCAAGAATAATTTCGAATATTAAAATAAATCTTAGTCATAACTCACTCAAATTAAAGTTCTAATTTTAAGTTTTTTGTGCATACATAAATTAATAATAATATGCATTTAGGCTTAACAATTTTAGAGCGTTTTAACAAACCTACGGCCAAGTACAAATACAATATTTTTATAATTTGTGAGCTCTGTATGCCTAGCCACTACTTGCTGAGCAAGCTGGCTTTTCCTCTTCCAGATGTCAAGAGGAGAGCTAATAAATGATTTATGACTTTTATCAGGCATCAACTGATAACATTGTTGGATGCTGAAAAGATCGATGTTTTCTTTAAGAATCAAGCAATTTACAATGTGACATCGAAATGAACATTATCGACAAAATCGATATATGTTTCGATAGGTTTTCATTCAGCAATTGTTTCATGCTGCTTGCTGTAACTTTCACAGCTCAATTGAAAAATATAAAAATAATAACAAAATGTTTTCAAAGCAAGCTCTGCCTTTCACTTTGCAAGGCCACAAAATCATTTCCCATTGAGACTTACGCAGGACGAGAATATACGAAAAATTGCTTACGAAAAAAACAGCTGGGAAAAGTAAGAATTGGCAAATTCAAATTAATATGCAGCACAGACTCAATGCTTTAACCGATGCTTTACAGCCGTGATAATTATGCCGCCCAGACGCAGCGAGCGGCTGCGCAAGCTACGTGAGGTTGTGACATCGGCGGGGCCCGTGGTGGAGTCCAGGGGTGCGCGACGCCCCCGGCCACGCCCACGACGTGCTCGCGCCAGGGTGCCTGTGAGTGCAGCAGCAGCAGGAACAGCCAGGACCAATATTGTGGCTGTGGCTGTGGTCGAGCAGCGCCTGAACGAACGCGAGGATGCGCGCACCTGGTTGCAGTTGGAAGCGCAGTCTACAGCCAGGTCGGTCAGCATTAGCAATGGGAACGGGGAAGGCCAGGTGGACGATGTGTTGACACTGCGCCTGTTGTCGCTCTTCATACGCATCGCACTGCTAGAGTCGCCATCGCTGGCCCAGCTGACCCGCCGTAATCCCCATCAGGGAATTAGAAAGCTGTTTAGAATCATACGGTTTCTGTTTTTTAGACGTTGAACATTTTGTAATAATTGTCAATAAATCGATAGCATCGTTCGCCGGACAGGCGCCCCCACATGATCATGACATGATTTCCTGTCCCGAGTTCTTGGATTGCCTATGCTCCTATTCTCCTCATCTGTCTCGCAGGGACTGTCATTTATGCCGCGTTGCGCCTCCGCATGATTAATTGACTGGCACGCGTTTTCGATGCCAATCGGCTGCCCAAGTGACAAAAATCAATGCACCGCAAATGTGCGAGACTGTGACTGCAAGTGGCACTCGGCAGCCGGTAGTCGGCAGTCAGAGGTTGCAGCGACGTGTGAGTTACTCGGAATAACACAACTCATAAATCTTCAGGGCCCTGATCTCGAGATCTGCCGCCCGCCCCTCTTTTTCTACTGTATGTCATTTGGCAACCTGTGCCCACGCAGGCGGCTCTGGCGGCTTATCAGCTGCCAACTATCGCCAGACCAGACAATTCTTCTTCGGAATGTAATGTGTAATGAAACGGAAGTTGCCCGACTATCAATCTCAATTAAATTGATTGCCACCGAATGCAGCAACAATATTCCCTTAAATATGTATGTATGGGATACCACAAACCAAGTCAGAATCTTAACAAGAAGTAGGTGGGTTTATTTGGTTAATAATACCAGATTAAATTTGATTAAGGCGATTTTTATGAATTTCTTTCCTTTGTAAATAAATATTTAGTATGTTCATATCGCCCGTAACACGTATCTTATTTATATGTAGAAATAAATAAATATATATATGCACTTACCCAAACATACACATGTACTTATTGTCATCTTGAAATGCAAGGAAGGGACTTTTAGATCAACATCCCTAGAATAAAGTAGAGAAACAGCATAAGTAATGAGAATAAAATCGGGGCATAAAGAGAGAAAGAAGAGTAGAGCTCAAGAGAGCATAAGCAAAGAATATCGGGTTTTACTTAAATTTATAAGAATTTTTTGAGCTCTAGATCAATTTGGTATATAAATCTGGCAACATTATTCTAGTATATACATAGCTTCCAATTCCAACATTTAATTCCTTCTTCGATGGAATTTTTCAATCACGTATATTTAGACTTAGTTTTGAATACTTTAGAGGCTGTCTTATATTCCACATCTTTACAAAATCCTGTCTTTACAAGAAAAGGAAAGAAGACATTACAACATTTTCCATAATTTTTTTTGTCATATTTATATCCTCAATTAAGGCTAATATCATGTTGAAAATAAGTGTAATACCGCCCTAGTATGTTACAATTTTCATATATTATTTGCAGTTTAAGCGGACATGGCCTAAGCATAAATTTAAGCCACAGCAGCCGCAATTTTTTTTTTTTGGCATAAAGCGAGTTGACAATCCAACAGTTAGTTGGCCAAATTGCGCACATCCGTTGGATTGGCAAAGGAGCCGCAATAATTTGCAGCAATATGGCTAAAATAAACGCGACGCGTCGTTGGTGTTGGCTGTTGGCTGTTGGGTATCTGCGACCTAGCTGAGAAGTGGCAATAAACAAAGCCAAGAGCACGCGTTATTTTGTGCACATTTCCATGCAAATGGTGGCGGCAAATCAGCGCAAATGAAAGAAGCAGCGACAACAACATGCAACCGCATGAGCAATTGCCAATTGCGTGTTGCACAATCATTGGGAGCAGAGTCACAGTCAAAGTCAGAGGCAAGCCAACTGTCGGCCTACACACCAGTCGAGCAGAACCCAAGAACATGACATCAAATGGCAAACAAAGCGCAATTACATGGAGCGACAAGCCGAAATGCGAATGCGAAGTGTCGCATCGAAGCATTCGCATTCGCACTCGCAGTTGAAACACAAACTCAAACCTTAAACTGAGCTGCAACTGAGCTGCACATGGGCGAGCGAGCCGCATTAAAAGCCCACAACAAAGCCGGGCTGACTCACATAGGCAAGAGATGCGTTGGACGTTGGACATGGCCTGGGCATTTGGTATCGGCATTGGTATCGGTATTAGTATCGGCATCGAAGCTATTGCCATCGAAGCTATATGACTGTTGCATGCCAGCTCGGAACTAAACGCTGCTTAACTCAAGAGCGAGACATTTATCACACTCCTCGGGCCAATGGGCTGCTCCTAATGCCCGCTAATTAATGATAATGTCAGTAACGTATGTGGCTGGCCTCGTTGCAGTTGCCAGTTGCCACAGTACCGCAGTTCCACAGGTCATCAGTTAACGTTTTCATTAACCATATGTCACACGCATGTCCTGGAGGGCTGGCAACCCTCCTATGCGCAACCCTCGCAGCACGAGGAACCCTTGAAAATTAAATTATGCGCTCGGTCGCGTGTCCTCCTCGAGTTCACAGTCGGCAAATGATGAGTCAAAATACATAAAAAAAGAAAACTAAATGAAAATGAAAATAAAAATGCATAGCGTTCTATACCGGCCCGTCAACCATCGCAGCCATCCCCACGCGCTAAGAGTTCCCATTTGTGCCCATTTCTCGCTTTTTCCACATAAATTTCAGAAGCTCTTCGCTCAGTTGGGCAGTTGGTTTGCTTGTGTCGGCCAGTTGTGCAAACTGTTTGCATTGCGGCGCGTGTTTCGGGCCAAAAAGGTGTTAAAACTGTGCCGCAAAATTGTTTTTGTGTCCAACACAGCCTGGGGTTGTTTTAATGACCGTCTGACTTTTTGGCTCGACTATCTCATGATGAACCCGATATAATTACGCATTTTGTCGACAATGAAGTTTATGTTCTTTTGCGAGGCGCGTGCCGGATATGTGGCTGAAAGGTGGGCAAGTATTTTTTTTTATAAAACCAAGACACGCAATACTTGAACTGGGGGTTAATATTTTTGGTTTCCTCGTTTATACGCTGCGAGGCGCTACATAATTATAGGAGGGCAGATATTTGGAAGAGCTCTGAATGGGAAGTTAATTTTTGGGGTCAAAAACTAAGAATCAGATTTTCAATAATATTGTTTTGAAGATTGGATGGAATTAGGAATGCTTTCTAAAAGATCTGTGTCAATTAAAGGTACGTGTGTGCATGATGTCATCGATTCAGTCGGATAACCTTCACATAGTTTGAGAATTAAATTGCGAATTCTCGATCGTATATCATAAGCCATTTCGTAATCCATTTGTACGCCTTCAACTCTAACACCAAGTTAACCCAATTAACTATTAACCTAATTTACATACAAGCCACCAGCCAAATCTAAAGCCAAAAAATTTGCACATCACGCCGCATAGTTCACATAATTAGCCCAAAATAAAAAAGAGTACACAAATAAAAACTGAAACTCACGCATTTGGCTTGCCAAAAGAAAAAAAAGGCATTGGGAATTGGCAGCTTCAGTTACATAATCATTGGATGTGGCTGATTGATGGATTGGCAAGAGATCAAAGTGAATCAGAGTCAGAGCTGAAGGAACCACTTGGTTGATTCAAAGACTAATTCAATTGCTTTATAATTGAACTAAGGAGGCGCGACGAGGCGCTGAGCCACATTTTGGACTTGGAGCTGATTTAATGAGTTAACTTCGAGACGCGGACCAATCAAACCACACCACACACACACATGCTGGCTCAGCAGGTTTACTCGCAGGTTGGCCAAGTTAATAATTTAATGGTCAACGTTGTAATTTTTCCACAAAATTGATCAATAATCGCTGGCGCAAAGCCCGAGCCGCGTCCAATTCAATTCAATGAGATTCAATTCAATTGCAATGCAATTGTAATTGAAAAATCGAATTTAATGCCGAATTAATAGAAAAATTTGTTGTGGCGTGCGGCATGCGGCGTACAGCGTGCGGCATGCCGCTGAAGCTGTTTAAATTTTGTGGATGCGATTCATTTGCTGCATGATGGATAGCCCTAGTCATTAGCTTAGTTGTGGGCGTGCCAGCGCCCACGCTAATTAGGACCCAACCCCTTGCCCCACAGCTGCCAGACAAATGCGAATTTATACGAGGTCTTAAGCATTAAAAACCATCTCGAAAAGCTTAAAATGTTTTTGCTGCCGCGTGTCCTTTGTTTAATTAGTGCGCTAAAAAATTAGCAAAAAAAATATATATATGAAATAAAAAATAATACTATATATATAAATAAATGAGTAAAAAAAGATGATCACATAAATATTTAAGCGGATTATGCGGCGATTTATCAAAAGCAATTAAAGAGCACCGAAAATGAGTTATTTTTTATACGATTATTATTTCAGATTTAATGTTGTTGTTGTTGTTGTTGTTCGTTCGTGGAATGCGCTTTGATGACAAATAGTAGCAAAAATGTTGCGCCATCAATTTTTTGCTTGTGCTTAGCAGGAGTAGGAGCAGAAGGTGGAGGGGGAGGTCGGCGAGACAAAATGTTTATAATGCTGCTAAAAGCATGTCAGTACGAGTATCTCGCAGATACAAATCAGAAAGCGGCCCGCAAGCAAAGTGGGCCACGATGCGGCAACCGCAGCAAATTCAGGCTGGCAGCTGGGACAGCCTGGTAGCCTGGTAGCCAGGTGACCAGGCGGCGGCGTCGGCTATCTGTGCAGATCAAAGCCGCTTGAGAAATCTGTGAGATATACGAGTATATTTAGCAGCTCCCGTGGCAAGTGGAGGCCAAGTCTTTAGCTTAAATACTAATTACCCTATGGGGAGCTGTGCATTGCACTGCCGGCTTATCGCCGCAGGAACCACCACACCGCCGCCAAGTCGTGAGTCGCAGGTCCCAGTTTCAGTTGCAGTTGCAGTCTGCAGTCTGCACTACACTACAGTCAACACCGTCTGCACGGTCCACAGTTGAACAGAGCTCCACGTTTCTGCAGTTGGCAGTGTGCGTCGTGCGACGCGTCGTCAATATTTGTCAAACTGTCATTCGGTTTGACATTTACGTTTGATCAACACCAGGCCAGCAACTGGCCCAGTGGCTGTTGTCCATGTCCGCTGGATGCTAGCTGCTGGCCACACGTTGCAGTTGCAGGAGCCGCTTACCGTCCGCTTTGCCGCGTTGACATAGCCAGATAAAAGCCACAGCGAAAACTAGCCCAACTCCGATTTTTCAATGTGTGGCAATTTAAAGGCGACACATTAACGAGCTCGAGACAACGTGAGTGTCGCTTTTGTTATACACTGCTCCACATAAGTGGAGTCTGCAGTCTGTGGGTCCGAAACTGATCCCAGCCGAAGATAAACAGCTGCTTCTACACTTAAAAGCTGGAGTGCAAAACCAAATACTGCTAACGCATGTAATGATAAGCACCGATATCGCCCAATGATATCCTACTTATGTTAAACACTGTTCAAAGTAAAATGCTTATTAATATAATAAAAGCTCACGATATTTAAACCTAACAGCTTCGCGGTCGTTAAGACCAGCACATTTATTTAAAAGCTATAAAAAGAAATTGAGAAAGAAACCTTCAGGTAATCCTATTATCATGTCTTATTTAAACGGCGAAACCTTCCAAGCTTCGGGTGCTAAAAAACTATATTTTAAAGCAAACTATACTTTTAAGGCATAAGCTTATTGCGGAGTGAGAGGCTTTAAAATAATGAATATGTTTAAATAAATAAAATCCGGCTTGAAATTAATAGTTGATTTATAGAAGAAATTTCACATTTAAATTAATAGTTGATTTAAGCATTTTGTAAAATATTTTAATAAGTCTTCATTTTTTTTTAATCCAATTAATTAAAACAAATCAAATATAAGCCCTCGAAATTACTTTCGATTAGCTACTTAGCTAAGAAACTTAGGCGCAAGTAGCAATCTCGTAACTCCATGCTTGGCTATGAGAGATGCTCAGCATCAATTGCTCACCTAATTGGCTACCAGTTTCTGTGCTTCAAATGATTTA